GTACGCCATCACATACGTGCATTAATTATTTTATTGTTTTTAATTATTTAATACATTTACCTTCCAATTTAAAGTTATTAAATCTTTTATTGAATTAATTTCTAGTATTTCCCGACATTGATTAATTAAATAAATATTTTCGCCCAAGTTTTTTAACACATATTTTTAAATTAGAAATATCTTGCTATACCTATTAAAACAGTATTTATGCCCGATCTACTGTTATAATTTTATCATGGGAGATAGTAAAATAAAGAAACGTTGTTACCAATTTTTTTTAAAATGTATATCACCATCTACCCTTGAACTAATTTCTCTCAGGGGGATGGGTACAGAAAAATTAATACAATAAAGGTTTCATCAAATTTAATTCATAGATTAGGTTATCTATCTGGTGCTGGTCTATTTTTTAATAAAATGAAGAATGGATGATTTTGCCAAAAATGACAAAAATGACACATTAAAGAGAAACGTATTTAATTTCCATAGCTATTCTGAATATAAATAGAAATTGAGCAGCATTATAGTAATATCGGGACTGGTTACTCTCTGATAGGCAAAAAAAATCGCTATTGCCCTGGCAATGACAAAAGAAGCCCACCGTGACCGTGGCCTCGTGCGAGTATTGCATCACGGCGGCCTTGTAAATCGTAAATGAAAATGATCCAACTCGCTCACTCTCTAACCCCGACATCGCTGCTGCGCTTATAAGCGCTACGCTGGTCGTAGTTCGCGGTCCTCGTCGTCATTACTCATTACGACAAATGAATGCTAGTTTGCTAGATAATTGCCCTGTGCAGCTACCGTGAATCCTTTTTGCGTGTGTCCGCGGTATGTTCGAGACGTAGCGAACTTATATGTAAAAAAAAATCTTATAGTTTACTAGGTCTTACGATGTTCATTTCGATTTTAATATTATGAAAACACCTTTGTGAACAAGTCTTTTTAAATGTTGACACTTCAAAGTTTTTCTTATTCTTCGCAAATATCCCATTAAAAAATAAAAAAGTATCCATTTCATGAAACTACTCTAATTTGTCATATGTCAACGTCAAGTCAAATAATTTTTGTCATTTATTTTATTTTGTTTATGTCTTTATTTACTTTATATTAGTGTTAAAAGATTTTTTATTAGTTTGTCTTACGCAAAAGCCAAGTAAAATATTTTTTGGAATTATTTGCTGCCGTTATTTAGATTGTTTATTCCTTTATTTACTTTTGATTGGATATTGACTTTTATTAGTGTTTAGAGACTTTTTATTAGTGTTTCATGACACTTTTATTAGTGTTTAGTAATTTTTTATTAGTGCACTAAACACTAAAACCTTCTATTAGTGTTTAGAGACTTTTTATTATTGTTTAGAAACTTTTTATTAGTGTTTAGATACTTTCTATTAGTGTTTAATGACACTTTTATTAGTGTTTAGTAACTTTTATTAGTGCACTAAACACTAAAACCTTTTACTAGTGTTTAAAGACTTTTTATTATTGTTTAGACTTTTAACTAATGTTCAGATACTGTTTATTAGTGTTTAGACTTTTTTATTAGTGTTTAGAGACTTTTTTATTAGTATTTAGAGACTTTTTATCTGTGTTTGGAGACTTTTTATTAGTGTTTAATAATTTTTCGAGATGGAGCGAACTTATAAATAAAAAAAAATCTTATAGTTTACTAGGTCTTACAATATTGATTTCGATTTTAATATTATGAAAACACGTTTGTGAATAAAGCTTTTTAAATGCTGCCACTGTTAAAATTCTTCTTCTTCGTAAATACCCCATTAAAAAATAAAAAAATATTCAGCATGTCAATCAATGAAACTACTTTCTATTTTGTCATATGTCAATGTCAAGTCAAATTTTGTCATTTATTTAATTTTGTTTATTGATGCAAATTATGTTTGTTTTTATAGCTTTATTTACTTTATATTAGTGTTAAATGACTTTTTATTAGTTTGTCATACGACAAAACCAAGTAAAATCTTTTTTGGAGATATTTGCTGTTATTATTTAGATTGTTTATTCCTTTATTGACTTTTGATTGGATATTAACTTTTTATTAGTGTTTAAAGACATTTTATTAGTGTTTAGAGACTTTTTATACGTGTTTAGTGACTTTTTATTATTAGTGCATTAAACACTAAAACCCTTTATTACTGTTTAGAATTTTTTTATTATTATATAAAAACTTTTTATTAGTGTTTAGTGTTTTATATTAATATTTAGAAACTTTTTATCAGTGTTTGGAGACTTTTTGTTAGTGTTCAGTGATTTTTTGAGATGGAACAAACTTATAAGTAAAAAAAAATCTATCACTAGGTATTACGATATCGATTTCGATTTGAATATGAAAACACGATAGTGAGTAAGTGCTGTCACTCAGTCACTGTCAAAGTTTTCCTTCTTCGTAAATATCCCATTAAAAAATGAAAAAAATATTCACTATGTCACTATTTTGTCATATGTCAACGTCAAGTTAAATAATTTTTGTCATTTATTTCTTTTTGTTTATTGATGCAAATAAATTTTATTGGTTGTTTTTGGAGTTATTTAGATTATTTATAGCTTTATTCACTTTATATTAGTCTTAAATGACTTTTTATTAGTTTGTCATACACCCAAACCAAGTAAAATCTTTTTTGGAGTTATTTGCTGATGTTATTTACATTTTTTATTCCTTTACTTACTTTTAAATGGATATTGACGTTTTATTAACTTTTAGACTTTTTATACGTGTTTAGTGACTTTTTATTAGTGTTTAGTAACTTTTTATTAGTGCACTAAACACTAAAACCTTTTATTACTGTTTAGAGATTTTTTATTATTATATAAAAACTTTTTATTAGTGTTTAGTGTTTTATATTAATATTTAGAAACTTTTTATCAGTGTTTGGAGACTTTTTGTTAGTGTTCAGTGATTTTTTGAGATGGAACAAACTTATAAGTAAAAAAAAATCTATCACTAGGTATTACGATATCGATTTCGATTTGAATATGAAAACACGATAGTGAGTAAGTGCTGTCACTCAGTCACTGTCAAAGTTTTCCTTCTTCGTAAATATCCCATTAAAAAATGAAAAAAATATTCACTATGTCACTATTTTGTCATATGTCAACGTCAAGTTAAATAATTTTTGTCATTTATTTCTTTTTGTTTATTGATGCAAATAAATTTTATTGGTTGTTTTTGGAGTTATTTAGATTATTTATAGCTTTATTCACTTTATATTAGTCTTAAATGACTTTTTATTAGTTTGTCATACACCCAAACCAAGTAAAATCTTTTTTGGAGTTATTTGCTGATGTTATTTAGATTTTTTATTCCTTTACTTACTTTTAAATGGATATTGACGTTTTATTAACTTTTAGACTTTTTATACGTGTTTAGTGACTTTTTATTAGTGTTTAGTAACTTTTTATTAGTGCACTAAACACTAAAACCTTTTATTACTGTTTAGAGATTTTTTATTATTATATAAAAACTTTTTATTAGTGTTTAGTGTTTTATAGAAACTTTTTATCAGTGTTTGGAGACTTTTTGTTAGTGTTCAGTGATTTTTTGAGATGGAACAAACTTATAAGTAAAAAAAAATCTATCACTAGGTATTACGATATCGATTTCGATTTGAATATGAAAACACGATAGTGAGTAAGTGCTGTCACTCAGTCACTGTCAAAGTTTTTTTCTTCGTAAATACCCCATTAAAAAATGAACAAATATTCACTATGTCAAATATATGAAGCTACTCTCTATTTTGTCATATGTCAACGTCAAGTTAAATAATTTTTGTCATTTATTTCTTTTTGTTTTTGGAGTTATTTAGATTATTTATAGCTTTATTCACTTTTGGAGTTATTTGCTGATTTTTTTTTATTTGTCTTTAGACTTGTTATAAGCGTTTGAAGTCTTTTTATTAGCGTTTAGAGACTTTTATTAGTGTTTAGTGACTTTCTATTAGTGTTTAATGACACTTTTATTAGTATTTAGTATCTTTTATTAATGCACTAAACATTAAAACCTTTTATTATTGTTTAAAGACTTTTTATTAGTGTTTATATACTTTTTATTATTGTTTAGAGACTTTTATTCGTGTTTAGAGACTTTTTATTAGTTTGTCATATGCTAAAGCCAAGTAAAATCTTTTTTTGGAGTTATTTGCTATCGTTATTTAGATTCCTTTATTTACTTTTGATTGGATATTAACTTTTTATTAGTGTTTAGTGATTTTTATTAGCATTTAGTGACTTTTTATCAGTGTTTAATGACACTTTTATTAGTGTTTAATGACACTTTTATTAGTGTTTAAAATCTTTTTATTATTGTTTAGAGACTTTTTATTAGTGTTGAGTAACTTTTATTACTGTTTAGTAACTTTTTACTAGTGTTTAATGACTTTTATTACGTTTAGTACATTTTTATTAGTGCACTAAACACTAAAACCTTTTATTAGTGTTTAGATACTTTTTATTATTGTTTAGACACTTTTTATTATTGTTTAGATACTTTTTATTATTGTTTAGATACTTTTATTAGTGTTTAGATACTTTTCACTAGTGTTTAGAGACTTTTTATTATTGTTTAGATAGTTTTATTAGTATTTAGATACTTTTCTCTAGTGTTTAGAGACTTTTTATCAGTGTTTAGGGACTTTTTATTAGTATTTAGATACTTTTTATTAGAATTTAGTGACTTTTTATTAGTGTTTAATGACACTTTTATTTGTGTTTAGTAACTTTTATTAATGCACTAAACATTAAAACCTTTTATTAGTGTTTCAAGAATTTTTCTTAGTGTTTAGATATTTTTTTATTATTATTCAGAGACTTTTTATTAGTGTTTCAAGACTTTTATTAGTGTTTACGATACTTCTTATTAGTTCTAGTAACTTTTTATTAGTGCAGTAAACACTAAAACCTTTTATTAGTGTTTAGTGACTTTTTATAAATACTTATTGACTTAAAAAGTAGGCCGTAAGATATAAATAAATAAAGAATCTTACCTGTACACCCCGTAATGTTTTCCACTAGCCCTATCGCCGCATATCGAACATAGATGTTTGGATCCGCTTAACGGATGATTGGGTGGATACGGAGAGTTGGCCTTTTGCGATCCCGCCGAAGGACTGAGCAAATTCCCGTGGCCCAACGAAAATGACCCGGGGCTGTTCGGACCCTGCGGGCTGAATTGGTTCAATGTGGAAGCGTCCGGCTTTATTTCCAGAGGTGATTGCGGTCCTAGGGCTCCCATCGAAAGGCTTTGGTCAAGACTGAGCCCTGCAACAAAAATTAAACGAATTAGAGAAATTCCTTATTGTCCAAGTTGAATGACATGGGTTTATTTCAACTATATTAATGTCAATTTTTTTTTCAGCAATTTTCTTTTGCGTTTAAAGTATTTTTTCAAAAAATTTCAATACGAAATATAAAATTACTACCACAAGAAGTTATTGAAATTCGGTGTCGCCTCTGGTTGTTTTTATAATCGTTTAAACTTTATTTTCATTATTAAAGCTTCATTATTGGTATTGTTTAAACAGTGTGAAGTTGAGTATATCTTAGATAATAATATACATATTGGATTGGTATTTCCTAAAAGAAAAGTTTAAAATCCGTACAAATTCGGGTCCAGTTCAGTTGTGTATGTAATGCACTATTTTCCTGCACTTTGTGCCGAGATATTTATTCACAGACAGCGGACGGACATTCTATATGTTTATGCAAATATGTAAGCGAGCCAAGGCTCAAGGTTGCGCAGATAAATCCGACCATTCTTTTTTTAATCACGTTTCGTCGATTCCGGCAGAAGGTATGCATCGCGCTTGGCGGGACCTTGGACATAGAACGCCAAAAATAATAAACAAGGTGTACCCAATATTATCGTTGGGTGTATGTACCTACATAATAACTAATTTGTAATCTTTTGTTATACTTTTTCTTAAATTACTTATTAATTCGATCTTAGATAGGGTTATTAACATTTTTTTGGTGGTTTTTGTTGTCCGTATTCTCCAAATCCACCAAAAAATATGGAACTATATGAAGTTTATTCCAGTGACTCCCCGCACAATATAAATGTAAACCTGGTGAATGATCGCCAAACGTAGACTCTAATCCTAGATCTTTGTGTCGCAAAGTGTAAGGAGTGTAGAGTTTTGTAACTGTGCCAGGTACAGCAGGGACAAAATTATTTTATAAATGTTAATAACAATTTCGGGTAAATAGTTTAATAAATTGTGAATAGCTGTTGAAATTTTCTAGAATTAAGATTTGGATATTATAATTCTTGTTTAATAATTGTATTTGAATGCCTAGGTAAATTAAACCACTCATATAAAATTAAATTGCAAGCTCATGCAGTACTTGAAATTTTTGGAGCAAGGAAGATCCCTCTAGCTCTTAAAGATACAGAGTCAAAACAAAGATTAATCGAATGGTAGAAGATTAAATTTTAAAACCTGTGGATGAGCCAACAGCAAAAGCAGAAAAACTCAATGACAAAATTCGTATTTGTATGGCCTCTCGAAGCCTAGACAAATATATAAAGCGAGAGCACTACCAACTGCCCCTTCCTGAGGATATTCAGTCAGAAATTTGTTTCAGTTGTAGATGCTTCTAATGCTTTTCCTCAGATCCCTGTGGATTCTGAAAGTGTTATGTATCATTTCAACTCCATTTGGAAGGTTTACACAGTAGTCCAGAGGTATGGGGGCGTCCATTAATTACGTGAGGTGTTCAAGGGGGGAGGGGATCAAGCTAATCTTTCCAAATCTCACTTGGGGGAGAGGGGGTTCTTTGTAAATCTGACGTATTTTTTTTTTCTAGTAGAAAACGGTGTCAAATTGCGTGAAAATTAAATTAAAGAATGTTTCTAGAAATTTTTAGACTTAAATAAAAGTAATAAAACATATTGTGTTTGTTTTTTTAATAATCCAACGCATTTACACCCAAAACACAAATTTTGAAAAATCTCACGAGAGATTAGGGGAGGGGAGTTGAGGAAAATCTTACGAAATCCACCAGGGGGGGAGAGGGGGTCAAAAAATCCTCAAAAATACCTCACGTAATTAATGGCAAAAAACTATTCACCAAATCCTAGAAGGCATTGAAGGAGTTCACATTTATTTAGATGATATACTAATTACAGTATCAAATATTGAAGAACATGACAAAAAGTTAAGGTTAGTTCTGGAAAAAGCAAGAAAACACAATCTAAAATTAGTCCAGAAGGAGTATATCAACTACTAAAGCTAAAGTAAATGCAACCAATAAGATGGAACCACCTAAAAATGAAAATTAACTACGTTTTATAGGCTCTATTAACTATTTAGGCAAATTTATCAATAGGTCTGAGAAAATTTATATGAGATGATAATCATCAAAAACGTTTTGAAAACTTAAAACACAGATCCCATCTTAGCTTTATTATCTAATCCCAACAAACCAGTAACTCTTTCAGCAGATGCAAAGTCAGAATGGATTGGGCAGTGTACTAATCCAAGATGGAAAGCCAGTAGCATCAGCATCTAACACCAGCTCAAACACGATACAGCCAAATTGAGAAGGAATTGCTGGCGGTTGTCACAGCATGTGAGCATTTTAAATATTATGTTCCCAAAACTTCTGGGTCTATTACAGAAACCAATAAAAACCCAGATTGGAAAATTTGACATTAAAACTTTTAAAATACAACACCAAAATTGTTTACGTCTTAGCAATATCTTAAATGAGAATCAAGTTTTACTCCAAGATATTTTCTGATAATTAGGCAAATTATTTTTATAGGGACAACATATGTTTTTTTATAATTTACTGTTAATATTTTATAATTAAAAATCTCGAATGTATTTTTTTAAATCGTTCTCAATATTATTCATTAAGTCTTCCTATGTTTCACCATTGTAGATAACGGCTGTGTCATCTAAAAATCCAATTAATTTGCCTGTGGAATTGTAGGAGAATGTATCATTTAGATATAAATTAAATAATACTGGTCCCAAAACGGTTCCTTGTGGCACGCCAAATGACACCGTTTTTTTTTTCACTAGTAGGCTTATTTTCTATTTTTACCACCCGTTTCCTAGTTAATATGTAACTTTCAAAGAATTTTAGTGACAACCCTCGTATACCTGCGTTATCCAAGAAATCCAACAATTATGAGTGGCTCACAGTGTCAAATACCTTTGCCAAATCAAGGAATACTACTGATACTGGTTGGGTGCTATCAATAAATTTGTATACTGAAGAAACTAAGCACTAAAGGGCGTCATTAGTTGAGAGTTCCGAAATTAGATTAGAATGTATGTAACTCCATATTTATATTATTTATAATAAGTTTTTAAGACGCTAATACCCGAAATACAAACAAACAAATTTATATAAAACATTCTAAAAACGAAATATGAGTGTTTTATGAAAAAATATTTATTTGCAAAGATTTTTCTTTAGTATATCATATAAACCACATACAAATCACTGATAAAGTTGGATACGAAGTAAATAATTTATGATAGGGGCTCTTACAACAGCAATTTTATTTAGAGCGACCCTTAGGCATCTTAGAGTTGAACTACTGTGGGTTACAGTAAATGCATACAAAGTCCCTGTACTATATCAGCGAGCAATACTAATTATTAAAATATTTGAACGAAAAATAATGCCCAGGGTCAGTGTTGTTTTAAAATAAATTTAAACCCAAGTCTATTTATTACAATGTACAAAAGGAGTAGCTGCCAACAGCTACAGCTAGGGCGAATCGTTAATCATTTTGACGCAATCATTTTGTATCAACATAGACAATCGCTATCAAGCTATTAACTATTTGCTATTTTCGATGGTGCTTCCATGATAAAAAAATGCTTTTCCAATGCCGCAGCGCTGTCATCGAAATGAATAAGCCAAGGGGTGTTATTGATTATTTATTAATGTTGGAAGGGATAAATTGATTTTAATTAAATAAAAGGGTTAAGGTTAATGGAGTATTTCGAATTCTAGGTGTTTCGTTGTAACGACTATGCCATCAATAATATCGTTCCTTCAACGAAATTTTTGATCTATAATATTTACAGGGCGTTCCAAAAATAGTGGTAAATATTTTAACAGCAAAAATAAGACTATAAATATATATCCAAAAATACCTTTGAAGAGAACCACCTGAAAATGGCTTTCTAAAGAATAAAAAAATGTAGTACCTTTTTATACCAATCTCCACTATAGTATACCTATTTTTATTTGAGGGTGACTCATCTGCGGATTAGAGTTTAGACGTGGTTGACCGGCAACGGTTCATGTTTCGTAGATGAGTCATCCTCACATAAAAATTGTTATACTATATAATAATTGTTATACCCTCACTCGTAATATTATACTACAGTTGTTGCTCCCTTGCAAGGCATTTTGGAACACACTGTATAATGAATAAAATACACAAAATCCTTATTTTAGTTTCATATCAAAATATTGGCATTCTAATTGAATTAATTTTTTTAGTATTTAAGTAAAATCATTCGGTACTCTAGAATAAAAAGTTGGCCATGTCTGTCTTACTATAATAAGGATGTATCTTGATTTTTAAGAATTTTATTTCATTTATTATTTAATGATTAATATTCGAATACAATTTTAACCATCTGAAAAGATGCAAAACAATTTCCAAGAGAAATCATTAACGACTAAAAACAATAAGAATGTCCCTAAACTTGATCTTTGAGGAACACCGATACTATTTTACGAATCGATTTCGTCTAATGTAAATTCCTAATCAGGCTCGCGGAAATAATGTTGCATACACATTTATTTTAGTAAAATAGTTGCAAATAAAATGTAATAATAGAAATATTTATATTTTTTGATAATTTCTAATAACAATATGTATGTGAACTAGTTGTCCTGGAATTAACAAAACAATTTTACATGGGGATTATGTATGCCATATATATTAAGTGACTACTTAGTTTTAAGGACCACTGATAAAAAAAAGATCTGTAAAGCTGGCCCCCCGAAATTCGAAAATTTTAATTTTAGAAGCGGCATACGTTTGACCACCCACTAATTTTTTTTGACCACCCTCAGAAACCTAAATATTTAAAAAATATATTAATGGGCGAGTGCCCGCTGGCCCCCCGAAGTTAATATTTTTTTTTAAACTGACTGCACTATAAGATTAACCATGTTTGACCACCCCTCAGATTTTTTTTAACACAAAGATAGGTCAATGGTCAGAAAGGCACAATAGGATCCAAAAACGTTTAAAATTATGTATCACTCCCTAAAATATC